AACAACCAACAACCACCAACAACAACCACAACCAACCACAACCAACAACAAACAACGACAAACAACAACAAACAACAACAAACAACAACAAACAACAACAAACAACAACAAACAACAACCAACAACAACCAACAACAACCAACAACAACAACTACAACTGCAACTACAACTGCAACAACAAGTACAACAACAACTACAACTACAACAACTACAACAACTACAACTACGACTTCAACAACAACAACAACAACAACAACAACAACAACAACAACAACAACAACAACAACAACAACAACAACAACAACAACAACAACAACAACAACAACAACAACAACAACAACAACAACAACAACAACTACTACTACTACTACAACTACAAAAACTACAACTACAACTACAACTACAACTACAACTACAACTACAACTACAACAACTACAACCACTACAACCACCACAACAGCTACCACCACTACAACCACCACTACAACCACCACTACAACCACAACTACAACCACAACTGCAACTACAACTACAACTACAACTACAACTACAACTACAACTACAACTACAACTACTACAACTACAACTACTAGTACTAGTACTACTACTACTACTACTACTACTACTACTACTACTACTACTACTACTACTACTACTACTACTACTACTACTACTACTACTACACTACTACTACACTACTACTACTGCTACTGCTACTGCTACTACTACTGCTACTGCTACTTACGCTCGACTACTACTACTCTACTACTACTACTACTACTACACTACTACTACTACTACTACTACTACTGCTACTACTACTACTACTACTACTACTACTACTACTACTACTACTACTACTACTACTACTACTACTACTACAGCAACCGCAACAGCAACCGCAACAGCAACAGCAACAGCAACAGCAACAGCAACAACAACGACGAGGACGACGAGGACGAGAACAGCAACGACAACAACGACAGCAGCGACCGCAACGACGCCAACGACAGCAGCAACAACAAGAAGAACGATGACAAAAGCAACAGCAACAGCAACAGCAACAGCAACAGCAACAGCAACAGCAACAGCAACAGCAACAGCAACAGCAACAGCACACAAAAAAAACAAGCACATGGAAAGGCCATGCCGCACATGTATAAGCGAGATTAAAAAGCAGTAAGCTGCGAGCAAGGAAACCAACAACAAAATCAAGTCGTAACATACGTGGGGCTCCACTCTCACATGGTCAGTCTTTGCGATAGCTACAGCTTGCAGAACGGCGGCCTGGGAATATGCCGAATCTTTGTAGAACAAGCCGGAGTTGAGTGCAAGAAGTGCTCTCTTTAATGACATGTATGCGGCAATTTTCTTGGCTGCACGGACACAGTGATTCAAGAGTAGCCTCTTGAGGTTCAAGAGATTTTGGAGCTACTTCATGAACTTGTTCACAGCTCCCAAACAGTTTTGCCCAGTCGGATCCAGTTCTTAAGCGGCCGGCACCTGGACACCCGAGAGGACGGGAAACAACAAGAGCTTCATCGCGGGATCCTGCACTGCTGATGTAAAGGTGATGACCATCATTATTCCGACGTCGATTCGCTTCATCAGAATGTCCCACCTCAGCTGCTGTGGCATGAGCTGCTGTGGCAAAGCTGATGTTGGCTTCTCAAAAAGGACAAGCAAAAGCTATGCCAAATGAAGTCCGGCCACCACCAGTAGTCTCGTTCCAAACCCTGAGTGAAGTAACCGAAGCGCCTGTTGGTCTCGGGTGACTGGCGGTCTAGGCGGAAAAGCACCACCGCCAGAGACAAGGGGATTCCAAGGCACCTCGGTTCTAAAGAAAGCAACGACCCACCGTTGCTGATTTAGGGATTTAGTGCCCTAGCTCCACGCCACCCATTCCCGTATATTCATCCCCGAGAATCCTGACTGGTATCTCTACAGAAGAGCCACCAAACTACAAGGCCCGCCAAGGCGATCCAAGCAGAGGGAAAATGCGCATCGGTCCAGCACTCGACATTCGGGTTCGGCAGCAGCCGGCTCACCACCTGCCCATCCTCGCACCAGCACCCCAAGTCCCAAGCATCCGAAACAGGTCTATGAAATCATAACATGAATCAGCATCTGTTTAGACGGGAAATCCTGGGCCCAAACCAGTCCGCTCGGTGTTTAAAGGGGCTTGATATTGGCTTGATTGGCTTCGGAATTCCAAGTTGGGTCCTCCACAATGGGCACACACCAAAGCATGGACAGGAAGTTGGAAAGGAGACTCGGCCATACAGAGATCAGCGCGATCCAGATTACCTGGAGCGCTTCGTCATGCTTCGGGTGTTTACATTCAACTGCCTTCACTCTGACGAAGGCCTTTCACGGCTTAAGACTCCTTGGCTCAAAACCCGGGGACCCGAAACTACGCACATGCAGACAAATGCGAATCCTTCCCGCGAGGTCCTCGTCAATACCGCAGGAGTGCGATTTTGGCCAATTACGCCGAAAAGCCCAGGCAGAAATTGCCGCAAGTGGCTCACCCACACTAACCTACCAATCCTGCCGTACCAGACTACTGCCCGGCTGAGCGCATGAGCCCCTCAACTTTCGAACTCTGTGTCCCGAACCCCAAGCTTTGCAATTGCTTGCAACAGCACCATATGTCCCAGCTGCTGGTACACTTTGATAAATCAACTCGCAAATCCTGGGTCGTGCCGTGAAAAGCCCAAAGTCGAGGGAATCCATGACCTGTATTGCGTGGCAGGATCGTTGAGCCGAGGCTTCAAATTTCAGATGCTTCATAGTCGCCTGTGCTTTGAATGACTGACAATAGCACGGCGAGACCCAAGAATCTCACAACACACGGCAGCAGCAGGAAACATAGCTTAAATTCAGTTCACTTGCAACATGTCTTTGGTGACAGCGATCAACAAATAACACAATTTTGCTGGCTGTGCGACACGGCAGAACCGGAATACGACTAGTGCATACAAGTTAAATTGCATGGAGGACTTGTATTTTGCCATGTGCATGGAATGTCATAAACAACAAATACAAAGCAATGGAGAAATTGTATTCTGCGGCGCTGGCCCCATGTGCCGTCGAAAATGCATCAGAGAACATCGCTATATGGTTCAAGACTGAAAGCTTGCCAGCAACAGCTTTCGGAAGTCGCGGCGCGCCTTCTGAATGTCTTGACATGGTTGACATGGGCACTTCCATCGAACTTGCTGTGGCTATGGTGCTTGACACGCCCCCCTCCGGCCTCGTCCAATGCTACATCTGCTTCAAGCCTCGAAGTTAAAGGCAGCGTTTGCGCAGTCTTCGCACTGTCCCTGGGCAAACGGGCTTTACATCTGACGAAGGCAACATTGGCCCAGTTACAACAGTTCCAGCTGAGGATCGGCGGCGCCACCAGGATTTGCGTCTCTCCCTCAGGAGAAGGCTTGATTTGAGTGGAAGCGAGCTCGTGCAATTCCACCTCGGGCTCCGCCTCCGGGTCCGAAAACTTCACTTCGGCCTGGTGGAGGGCAGCTTCAAGTGGAACACAAGTTGCGTCGATGATCTTGTCCAACAGGTCAAGCACATCTGTGGCTGTATGCGCATACTCGTCGAGAATGCACGTCAAGTCTACCTTGTCGAGAACAAAGACGTCCACTGGCTCATCCCGTGACCGAGCCCTGGCCGTGCAGGCCCTGATGAGCAGACCGTGCGAGCTGACCACGGCATCCCGAAGGAAGGACTTGGGCTGCGAGATGGCTTCCTGCTCTTCTCTTCCACACTAGCGAGATCAAAGCGCTCGACATAAACATATACAGCTGCTTACACATACATGTTCCTGCAAATATACATACGTATGTCCGTGCATACATGCGTGCATACACGCATGCGTGCATACACGCATGCATGCATACCTACGTACATGTTTACACATATCCATCTCTTGATGCATATGTACATGTACACATATCTAAATTCGTATATACATCTACAGAGGAAGACCTTCGTATGTATGCAGGTATGTATGCATGCATGTGTATGTAGGTATGCATGCAAAACCACACAGATCTGCATACATACCTATGTATTCAGGTTGAATAACCTCTACATACCTATACCCATTGCATAGATACAGATGTTCTTGATGAAGCCCCCCCAAGAATGGTAGTGACGGCGGTCGTGGAAATGGTGTAACAGCACGATAGTACTACTGTCAGCAGCAGTACTTATGGTGTACGTCATCGTCGTCGTCGTCGATGTCGCAACGGTGACGACGGTGGCTGCGGCGACGCAGTCGGCGTCGTCGCTGTCGTCGTTCTGGTCCTGTCACTCTTCGATTTGGCCCTGGACTTCCTGCATTTTCCTGCCAGACATTGCCAGACTCCTGGGACATGAGAAAAAGACTCGTCAGCACTAGCGATCCTTCAACACTGTCATTGCACGTCAAGGCGTAGGGCAACTTAACGTGCAGCAGCAACTTTCCCAGCCTTGCATGGGCCTGCGAGGCACTCCAAGCTGCGGCTCCAGAGCTTGCGTTGCACACAAGATCGCGGCATGTTGCCATAAGTCATAGAAGATGGATTGCAGGAGGCTGCGGGGCTAGCGTGCAACGAAGAAGAAAAGGACGTTTACACGCCATCACTGGATTCGTGTTCTGGCAGACTTCAAAAGGACCGCTTGACTGGGCGCAACGCATAAACAAAACTAGAAGATCAAGGACTTACTTTCAAGTGCAGGGGACCTGGTCTTGAAGCCCCTGGGGCGTCACGTGTCTGTTTTTGGCCTCGTGGCGGCGTGTCGCCTGGAGGTATGGGAATGAGCAAAGCACGCCTGAGGGAAGTCCAAGGCACTGTAAAACTCACATTTGTCGACCTCGAGGCTTTCAGACTTCAGAAAAGAACTTCAGCCTCAAAATGACAACTGCTTCAATGTCTTCGGTTCTTGGGCAGCCGCTACTTGCTCGCTCGTCGAACACCTCGGCCTACTCTATAAGTCGTTTTGGAGGGAGTGGAGTGTGGGGCAGACATTCAACGCCTGGCCAGCGCCGAGGCGAATGGATTTTGGGGAGTGGCCATGTGGCAAATTCTCGTAAGTCCAAGAACTTTCGACTTTTTGCAGGAAAAAGTTCGACGGAATATTGAGGAATGAACCAGGCCACCAAAATCAGCTGAGTGGATGCTGTGAGAACAAAAGCTTTCTTCACATCCAGAGCGATGAAACATCAAAAACACGGATTGCGCTGCAACACGTGCAACTCCTGTATGTATGCATATATGGAAGCATGCATCTACGCATGCATCTACGCATGACTATACATACGCATGTTGCACGGCATGACGTCCTGCAGCACTGCCGGTGGGACGTCCAGGGCACCGAACTCCTCAAGCTCCACCACAGACAGGGCAAGACCCACCTGGCTCAGTCCATCTATTCGCCGACATACACACATACTTGCACGCATGTATGCTGCGTGCACGCACTTGCATACACAAACGGATGGATGGCAGGACGGACGGACGGACGGATGACGGACGCACGCGCGCACACACACACACACACACATGCACGCAGACACACGCGCAAACACACACACACACACACACACATGAACAGGCACACGCACACACTGAAGAAGTGTAGTCTGCACTCGCGGATGGATGTCCACAAGGGACGTTAAACTAGAGATGGCTGTTGCCTGCGATGTGACCTGCAATGTAGAGTCATGTTCATGGAGATGCGAAAACAAATTGCTGCAACCGTGCATGTATGCAAAACCACGTCGTCATTGGCCTGAGTGGCACGCGAATGGTGTGTTTGCACAGCGAAGATATCACAAGATGGCACCATGTACAGCTTGCACGGTAAAGATGTCGCAAGCTTTGCTGCAGGTACAAGAGGATGATCAGTCCTCTCTTCCCATGTCACTGGTAGCTTCGTTGGACACAGTCCCAGTGACATGCTGTGTCCGCAAAACTGAAAAGAGATGCAAAAACCTTCAGGGCAGCGACGCATGGGATGTGAACCCTTATCACTTATCTCATGTACTAGAGAAGTGCACACACACACACACACACCCAGCATACCAAGGCATACCTATCGGTGTACGTCCGATGGTGCAGAACGCCCGTATGGTGCACTACATCATCATGTGGGGCCCGTGGCCTGGCTGAGAGCCCCTTCCAGCGCAGCGCGGGCACGGGAAAGTAGCTTGGCGTGGGCCCGACGCCTTCTTCCAGCCTCAACAGCTTGTTCAAAGACATCTGGGTTGCAGGGATGCCCCTGTGGAAGATCCCCGGCCTCATTCAAGGACAGTCCCAGCCGGGCTGCCAAGGGCACCAGGACGTTGACGGCCAACCAGGAGACCACCACCGCACCGACCATCATCAACAGCGGAAGGCAAATATTGTAGATTGCCTGTGCTATGCGGGCCGCCGCCGGGTGGTCCGACAGTTCCTGTGCAGAGCTCCCACTATAAGTGACAGTGTTTACCAGCGCGCCTATGCGACAGATATTTAAACATATGATGCTCAAACACGCATGCACTGCGTCTCTGCATGTCTCTCTCCATCCCTCTCTCCCTCCCCTTGGTGTCTGCCCGTGAGTGTGCTGTTTTTTTGTGCGTATCTGTATGTACGCAAACACACACACACACACACTCACTCACACACACACACACACACACACACACACACACACACACACACACACACACACACACACACACACGCATGTATGCCTGTACTCATGCGTGCATGTATGCACGCATGCATGTATGCATGTGCACATGTATGCATGTGCACATGTATGTCTGTATGCCTGCATGCCTGCATGCCTGAATGCATGTATGCATGTACGTAGGCATGCAGGCAGCATGCATGCAGGCAGGCAGGCAGGCATGCAAGCAAGCACCCACGCGTTCATGCAAGGTTGCATGAATGTATATGCGTTTGTACGCAAGTATGAATGGGGTCAAATATAGGCACGCAACTACACATGTTTGTGTAAGTATTTATGTGTAATCTGTAAGTGTGTAAGTATGTACTGATTAAGTATGTAGGTACGTAAGTAAATATGCAGGCATGCAAGTATATAAGCAAATCAGTAAGTAGTAAGTTGGTACGTATGCGGGCGTGTAGGTGGATGGGTGGGTGGGGGGGTGAGGGGGTGGGGGAGATGGGGGGGGTGGGGTGGGTGGGCGGGCGGATGGGTGGTTTCATGTGCAGTTTATGAATAATTGCTTGTTCCTTTTGCGGGCATACAGACTCCGCCGATAACAAAGCTGGTCTGTATGAGGGGACGCTGGGTGACCTACCTGCAGGTGATGATCGTAGCAAAGCAGCTAGCATCTTTGCTGTGTATGGGTATCATCACTGTTGGTGCCTTCGAAAAAATGTGCTTGCTGCTTGCAGCAACGTCATGTCAGTGCTTGTGCATGTCAGGACATCCTGCCTGCCGAGGGTTCGCACATGCCTTCGTGTATGGCTGCGCAATCTGAGCCGCCTCTACACACTTGCAGCCAGGCTCTTCGCGAAGCAAGCCAGCAACAGGGGAGAAACTAAAAACCAACCATGAGCGCGACCATCCTAAGGCATGTGTGTGCGTGTGCCCAAACAAACGTAGCCTTGCGTTGCATAGTCTCGAGTTACATATAGGTTGGCGGACTTTCAGCTCCCAGCAGAGGGCCACCAGCAAGCAAACAAACAGCCACGCGAATATCAGTGGATTGCACACATCCCCCGCTTGCATGTATAACATGGATGCATGTAAGTAGGCTTGCGTCTGGCCTTCCACTGCAATGATTGCTCGGTGGGTTCAACGAACCGAAGCAAGAATCCGCACAGCAAAAACGAACTTGCCCTCACTACGCAGTCCTGGGCCCTGCACTGGGCAGCAAAGTCCACAGAAACCAGCGCCGGAGTAAGCGTCAAAGAGTCGAACAGGTTCCGCATTGCCACAGTCACCTCCATCCCCCCACGGAAATATCTTCTAAGGGCCGCTAGAGTCACTAGAGCTCACTGGGATCGGAAAGTATTTAATGGCTTTTTGACTTCGCCACCCCACCAAGTGCATGTGGACTTACACATCATGATGCGGGGGGCTTCGCAAAATATGAAGTTGAAGCTGCTATCGTTGGTGGTGCATGGTAGCCCTGACAGACTCTTCACCTCTCCGCAGGGCCAGAGCCGATTCTGCTGGGAGTGCGATTTAGGGTTTAGGGTTTAGGGGAGTGCCGATTGTTATTCTGTCTTTTTGTCCGCGTCCTCCCTCGCTGTCTGGTCTCTGTGTCCAGTTTCTCTTCTCGCTTTGACGGTCATCGTCCCGCCATCTGCTCGCTTCAAGTCTGAAATTTGTAGTCTAGTCTTTAGGTCCAGTCTGGCGTTGGGAATAAGCAAGTCGCACTCGAGTCTTCAAGACTTCAAGCCGGCCTCCACAGGCCACGCGAAGGTGGCAGAGCCGGTAGAGCCTGCCCCATCCACACCGTCAATATCTTCCTGCCATGGAAGTTGCACTGGAATTTGATCGAGCTGGAACGTCGCCAGGACTGAAGAGGCTGCCAGCCATTGGGTCGCGATGCGTATTATTATCGTGTGCCTGGGCTGGATTCGGAATTGTAAACGAACGGCAATAGAAGGCAAACATTGCTCGCAACAACTTGGAAGCGAAAGTGTGCAACCGTTTAAAGCCTAAATCATTCATTCATGACCAGCAGACATTTAAACTGAACAAAACAGCGCCTTGTTTGCCTCCACGACACAGCTTGCTGCTGCCACGGGCTGCTTCAGTGGCTGCCATGGCTGCGACGATGAAGTTGATGGTGACCTTACTATCAGTAACTACTCGTAGTAAGACCTACACGCTGCTCAACTACTAGCATCATCACCATCATCATAAGCCGCCACCATCGCCGTCGTCATCATCATCATCATCGTCATCATCAGAACCATTCTCTAGCAACATCATCGCCACCAGTATCCTAACTTGCCCCACTGCTCTGTTGTTGTCTCGTCATGATTGGTATCAATGACGGAGCTATGCCTCTGTTCAGGATTAGAACTATTGACATTCGTACAGCACTTATCCATGAATATTCGTGCGCTCGTCGCTATCATTGCTTCGTGCTGATCACTATTCTCAAAGTTACTTTTGCTATGAACGGTGACAAGCAATGAACCGAATCGCCTCATAACCATAGTTATTGCGTTTATTACTTCACGGCTGTTACTATTCTTGTGATGCTTCTGATGACTGTAGACGCGAGACCTTGCTTCCCACATCCCCGAGGATGGAGGCGACCAGTGGAAGAATCGCCTGTGGAAGACAGACCAGGCAGACCAGGCAGAGAGACGTAAGGCGAACCTACGACTCAACATCCCAGCATCCTCGGCCCTTCCCACGTCTGCGTGATCTCCTGAAATCATAGATCCCAATCCCCACAGCGCTCACACCTAGAAGGTTCGTTGATGTAATGCATCACTCGTGCCTGTTCTCAGCTTTGAAGCCAAAAATAGCTGCTTAGTGCATCGCCCCACTGCTGAGCTTTACAGTCATGCATACCTTTTTGTTTGATGCGAGAGCTCTTCTTCTTCTTTTGGCTGCTGACTTCCCTCCTCCCGTTCATTTCTGACCGAGCATTCCTGGTGGCCCTAGCAAGTGCCTTCATAATTGCTCCCACGCAGCTGCATGTGTTGGTTTCTGGTTGTTGCTCGGGAACACATTAGGCCGCTCCCCTCCCATTCCTAATTTTTGCATCCAGTTCCATTGGGTCTTGCGAATCATGTCTGAGTCATCTTTACGAGTCCAACAACCCACCCGCGGATGCCCTTAACCCTGAACCCGAGGAATCCTGAACAACTCAAGCCCACAGGCCCAAAATCCGCCTGCCCACAGGGCCGGCAGGCCGCCCTGAAGCCACTCCGAGCCCAGCCAAGCGGACATTCCCCGCAGAGAATGCCTGTGGAACCTTCCTCGCAGGCCTCAGCTCATGAGTATGCTTCGCGAAGGTGGTGCCAAGGATTTCGAATGGCAGCCAAGCAACATTTCCATACTTCCCTACGCAGTCCACCTCTTCATCACTCTGGCATTGGCCGCTGCCCAAACAAACGCTGAGGCCATTGTCCAGCACGACGAAACCTAACTCGGATTTAGGCCCCCCCCCTCATTGATCTAATCTAATACTGTAATCGCAAGCACTAAGAAACTTTGCGTCCAAAATCACTGCGCCCATCTCAGAAGGGCAGAGCAAAAGAAAGTGAGCGAGGTCAGCAAACAGCCGCAGTGGGGCAGCGGGAATGTCGTAACACCTCTGCTTGCGTTCAAGCTGCACTTGACGGCCGTCAGAGTTCCTCAGCTCTTCGCGTGACTTCGTAAACTCCCCGTCACGTCTCTGAGACGTCTAGGAAGAGTTCGAGATTCAGAAACTGTTCGGCCCAGGTGCCTGTCTGGAAGTAGCCCGGGATGGCCACTGGCAGTCGGTGCGAGTTTGGCGAGTTTGGCGAGTTTGAGTTTTCAGCAAACCCACCGGGGCAGCTCAAGGATGCGAAGTTCGCGCAGCTGGCGCACCGTGCCTTTCTCCAAAAACATCCAAAAACACTCTCGCCGCTTCTCTGCAAGATAGCTACAGCACGACCTATATCTTCATTATAGCCTTATAGCTATATCTGAGGCTTGCTGCTGCCTGGGCCTCTCATTGCTGCCAAGGGGCAAGGTCTATGCCGTTTGGATCAAGCTCCGCATAGAAGTCTCTCTGGCAAAAGCAGGCGGCTCGGCTGATTGAGCCCTCCTCGCTCTCGGCGCTTGTCGGGCACTGTAGGGGGCAAGACACCTCGTTGCTGTCGGAAGACTTGTAACGACCCCTTTGGCATCGCTCGCACGAGGAGCCCTTCTTATAGTGACCAGCTCTGCAGATGCATTCGTCTGGTGACCTCGCCCCTGCTGTGGAATTGGCACCGTCCTGGCACGCGAAAGCGAGGCCTGTACCATTGCAGTAAGAGCCGGGGTGGCATGTGGAGCAGTCTCCGCCCGACTGGTTCGAGCTCACTGAGCTCACCAAGAACGAACCAGGACGGCAGAGGCAGTCCTGAATGGACCTGGATCCCTCCTGCAGCGTGGACTTGTCGACAGGGCATCCAGAGCAGAGAGAGTTGCCGGCCACCTCCTTGTAGGAGCCTTGTGCGCACGGTGAGCAAACGCCTGTTTGCCTGTCGAAACCGAAGCCGGGGCCACATTCGCAAACGGAGACATTCTCGGGATTCGCAGGCTCCATGTTGACAAAGTTGGGCTGACAAATGCACGCGGCCAGCGACGTCGCACCGGCCTCGAGAGTTGTGGAGCCATAGGGGCACGACGTGCACCGAGAGCTCTCAGGAGTCCGATAGTATCCTGGCAAGCATTCGCATTGGGAGAGCTGACCTGGGCGCCAAGCCGGCAGAAATTTCGGAAGACTCTACACTGCACTGTACACTGTGCACAAGCTTCGCAAAGGTCTGAGTCGCCGACTGCTGCCGCTCGGGGCTTCACTGGCTGCTGGGCAGCTTTGCGGTGCTTGGCCGCCAGGGCAGTAAGTGTCCGCTGGGCACAGCTGGCACCCCTGGTTCTGCTCGTATTGCCCGGGTGGGCACAGAATGTGCATCCGCAAGGCGACAACGCGGAAGTCTTGCAGGGATGCGCAGCGATGACCAGAAGGGCACCAGCAAAGCTCTACGACCTCTTGTGGGCCAAAGCCGATGATCCCCATGTCCAGGAGGAAAGCGTTCCCAGACTCGTTGATGCTCACGGGCAGGCTGTACGACGATGCCTCGAGATTCTCGCAGTCTTTCTGTGCGATGAGGGAGTCATTGGTGGAGACACCGACGCCCCTCCAAACGGGGACGGTGCACTGAAAGCCCATGTAGCAACTGGCAGACTGGTTCGAGTACGGCCCTTCGGCAATGAAGTGGCCCGTGGCCACCGTGAAATCTTGGGGCGAGCTGCAGTCTGGGCGTTGGCCATCGCACCAACATAGTTGATAGCTGCCCGGCTCCACGGAGAAGAGCCCGGAAGCAGGCAAGTTTTGGACTTCGGCAGACGGCAAGGTGGAGAGGGAGTCCTGGCAGGTTGTCTTCACAGCCAGGTCGGACGTGTTGCCCGAGTTGCCCACGGCGAGGCCATCGAGGTGGCAAGGCTGCCCAAGCTGACAGCGAAGGACGGGGCTTGGGGGTCGGGGCGTTATGACATAACGCCACAGCTCCTGCAGGTACGAGACGTTGAAGCCCCCAAGAGCAGCAGGGCTGGGGAGGCTGCGTCGAAGACCGCCGCCGAATGTGCACGTTTTGACGGACCAGGGGGAGCCTCAGCCTCGGGCCCAAGATCAGTCCAAGTGCGCGTGAGAAGACTGAAGCTGTAGAAGCCGCTGCTGTAGCTCAGCACCTCGGCCTCGCCTCCCTGGCTTTGGTTTTGGATTCCTCCGAAGACAAGGAAACTCATCGAGGCAGGGTCCCAGGAAGCCACGTGCCCGCCTCTGGGCAGTGGGACAGCACCGGTTGCCGCAAGTTCGGCCCAGCTGTCGGCCCAGGCATCATAGCGATGCAGGCTCGAAAGGTACTGGTGTCCATCCCAGCCTCCAAAGACAATCATGGACCTGGTGCTGGCATCCCACGCTGCCGCATGCCGGCTGCGCTGCTCGAGCCCGACTGCACCGGCTGTCCAGGCCTTGTGCTCGAAGCTGAAGTACAAGAGGTCCGACAAGGTCTCACCGCCGTCCTCACCGGCAAAGGCCAGCATGGCCCGGCGCACGGGATCCCACACGGCTGTGTGGTACGCACGAGCCCTTGGCTTAAGAAACGTTGTCCACAGCTCCCAGGTCTGTAGTCGATAAGCCCAGATGTCGCTGTAGGTCTCACCAATGTGGCTGCCAGCAAAGACCATCATCGTTCGCGAGACGCTGTCCCAAACAGCGCTGTGGCCGGATCTGTGTGTTGGGCGTAGCTCGGAGACCGTGGAGAGTTCCGCCCAAGTACGTGAAGGCCAGTGGTACTGCCACAGGTCCGCGAAGTACTGGAAAGTCATGGCGGCTTCACCTCCAAAGACCAAGGCGGATTGAGTCTCGGGGTCGAAGACCATGGAGTGGTCTTGGCGACCTACCGGGCTTGAAGAACCAGCACCAGCGGTGTACTCGCTCCAGGCATCGAGCTCGCACCGAACGCCTCCGCACACAAGCCAACGATAAAAAACAAAAATGAAAAAAAAAACAAAAAAACACAGTCGATGGCCTCCTGCCTACACACCGCAAACGATATACTTCAGAAACTCTTTGTGGACATGTTGTCATGAGGCATCCTGTTGCACAGTGGGCCTGCAGCTTCTCGCGGGGTGCAGCCGTGGATGCTCCAGCCTCGCGGCGTCCATCCCCTCCCTTCTGTCCTCTTCTGTCCTCTTCTGCCCTCTTCTGTCCTCTTCTGTCCTCTTCTGTCCTCTTCTGTCCTCTTCTCTCTTTTTCCCCTCCCCCTCCCTGCCTCGGAAGCTGCAATCCCGCAGGCTGACCTCCGTGCCGTCACACGCGAGTCTATCGGCCAGGATCGTCCCCTCGAGGAGCAGCTTCTCCGACGACAGGTCGGAAAGGGGATCCCTGAGGAGGGCTCGGCCGCCCGCCATGCCAATGTCCCGGCAGACCACTTGTGCAGTGGCGTCCGAGAACCCGTCATCGCATACCAAGCCGTAGGAGCCATTGTACTGCAGCTGCAGCCAGCCCTCGCTGCCTCCGCTGCCCAGGCGCAAACCCTCCAGCTCATCGCCCGGCGTGACGTGGAAGACCTCCGCGGACACCAGGGCAGCTCCCATCTCACCCTGCGTCGTGCCCACGCTGACATCGCTGCCGATGCCCAGTTGACCATATTCATTGCTGCCGAAGCATCGCACGGTGTCATCCTCCAGGTACACGCACGTGTGGCTCCAACCTAGGGCGACCTGGCCAGCGAGGTTCAATATCGGGGACGCGTGCGAAACCGAAACCGCAATAAGGCCGGCCTGGCTTCTCTCTCTTTGCAAGTGTTACGAAACAGCTGCACACATATGTCTGGCTGCGGCCCACCAGCCACTACGGTCCAAGAAACGTATGAGATCAATCACTGCAAGCGGGGCAAATAGCAGCAATCTACATGCCTGCTGTGTGCAATCCAGCTGCTCAAGTCAATCCAAGACATTCGTCCACTACTGCGCACCATCCCTGCATATGCTTCACGAAAGTCCGATTCCCCTGCATTCCCTCATTTAACGGCCTGGTGCACTGCAAGATTGTTCAGGTTGACGGGAAGCAGTGCGTCGCCCATTTCTGCAGGCTCGTCGCCCAGGTTCTCTTCGTTCCCCTGGCCTAGCCTGAGCGCATGCAACGCAATCAGATGCCCATCCTCTGATCTCTCTGCGTGCACAGCAAAGGCCTGTAGGGTCAACAGGAACTCTGTGGCACGCCTGAGCCCCTGGCTGTCCGGAGTTCCCCCAACCCCAGCACTTCAGAGCCTCATCCTGCAGAACTGCACACGCGTGGTAAGGGCCAGCTACCACTTTGAGGACGTACGTGCCGCTGCCCAGTGGCGTGCTTGGGAGGCTAGGAGTCACCAGCGGCTGGTCCATGTTGTGGCCTTGGCCCAGTTGGCCCAATTCGTTTCGGCCCCAGCAGCGGACAGAGTGATCCCCCAAGACCTGCCAAGCGAAGCAGAAAAGTGCTTAAAAGTGCGTAAGGCGTCAAACGCATTGAAAGGGCAAACCCGATGATGCAGGATGGCTCAGGATGGTGCAGGCAAGCGGCTGCGCAGGTGAAGTACCGCCCAGCGGAAATCTGCAGCACTTCCAAGCCCAGATCCAGGTATGGCAAATTGTCTCCCATTTGGTTGGGCAAGCTACCCACATCATCTCCAGACAGCGTTGTGAAGCCCAGGCCGACCGCCGGGCCTCCCCCCCAGCACTTCACCCCGCCTCGACTGGACAGCGCACATGTGTGGTACCTTCCGAGTGCGAGCTGCGTGGCATGGAAGTCGGTTCCGAGGTCCACGAAGGGCAGTCGGTTGCCCATTTGGCCTGGGAAATAACCGCGAAGGAACCTGGATGTTGCAACACGATGAAGCGGCAAAATGACCCGGGGGCTCAAGGCGTCAAGGGGGGGCATGGGCCACAGTCTGGACATGTCCTCGCAACTGAGGCGCGCACACGTCACCCAAGCCGAGTCTCCCATGCCCACCATCTCCGAAGCATTTCACAGACCCGCCGTGCAGCAGCACGCACGTGTGCTGAACCCCAAGTTCAACCTCAAGCACAGCGTTCCCGCCAACGTCCACGGCGGGCAATGCAGAACCCATCTCCTTCGGATTGTTGCCCACATCTGACTCCGATCCATAGCCCAGCTTGCCGCGCGAGCCATCGCCCCAGCACCGCAGTGCACCGCCCTCGAACACACCGCAAACGTGTTCTAGACCGCATGCCACCTGCACCACTTTGGTGCTTCCCAAGTCCACGAACGGCAACGCGGCACCCATCTCGCCCGGGCGCAGGCCGATATGCCTCGAAAGGCCTTAGCCGACGATGCCTTCAACAAAGTCTCACACGACAGTGAAAGCCAGAACATGTCCATCCTTTTTGTAAAAACTGCGGAAGCTATGCCAAGTTCTGATCCACAGGAGCAACCTCCTGCTAGACAAAATACGCACGCGTGTTACATAGACCCTGCAACGCATCGCGAATGTTATCTCTTCTCAGCACGCCTGGCATAATGCGACGGACCCCTTCTTTTTTCATGGAGAAACATGAAAAAAATTGGGCACATGCGCACACACACACACACACACACACACACACGAATGCTCAAAGGACCCGAGGCCGCCGCCGCCGCTGTTAGCGCCCCAGCACTTGACGCCGTTAGTGTCCCCGGCGAGGAGCAGGGCGCAGTTGCCCTGACTGTAGGCACTGAGCGAGACGGACACCGGGGGCACTGGACCTGCAAACGCGGGGTTCAGGGTTTCGCAGTTTTTTGATCCTTTTAGGACGACTGAGCCACGGAAGCCAGAACAGGAGTTACCACTCGAACTTACCTGCGACGCTTCCCGCTTGTTGAACTAAGAACGGTCCTAAAGGTCTGAATCTCTACATGAACGCTCCAGCCCCTCTCAATGGTTCCTATATACGCATAGCAATCACCGTTCCGGTACAAGGGTGTGGGATTTGGGTGACTGCAGGAATTCAAGTCGGGCCTGATACGTTGTGGTTGTGGCCTGGAGCTGCAGGCGCCCAGGCGACCACTGAGTCCACGGCCACGTCATAGGAAAAGCCGATGATGTCAGCGGAGAGGAAGCGCAGCATCGTTGTGTTTGCGGGCAAGGTCACCTTGGCTTGCAACCAGCCTGCTCTGTCAGAACCTCTGACTGACCAGCGCCTCCACCAGCGGTCACGCCAAAGGTACTGCAGTTCCAGTCTTCCAACTTCTGTTCCCCATGCGTGGTAAGCAAACTCCAAGTAGAACTCGCTGCTCGCCGGGAACATGGGACTCGTCAAGAAGCTCTGCCCCTTCAGGGGGTTGCCTTTTGGCCAAGCTCCTAAAACCTTCGAAAGCCTGTGAAGCTTTCAGAGGAAAAGGGGGAGAGAGAGAGAGAGAGAGAGACAGAGAGTGAGTTGGATTGAAACCCACAAGACCAGCCTCGATGCTTTGGTACATCAAATCATGGTTGTACATGTAGGCACCGCCGTCGCGGAAGGCCGAAACAGGTCCCTGTTGCAAGTTGGAGGGCAGCCAGAAGGTGCCCGTTGACCAGCCGCACATCATATCGCCGCCGAAGCCACACGTCAAGTTTGCCAGGTTGGGCACCTAAGAGGTTTAGCTCACTCCTATATCTCTCCAAGTGAAGTTTCTTGGTCCCTGCATTTTACAACATTTAAGCGGTTCCGGTGTTCTCCATATCATATTTCTGTGATTTGTCTAGTGTCTTCCGACTATCTTCCTACGATCTTCCAATGATCTTGCGACTGTCTGCCAAAATTTTCCCCTCATTCACGACGATCTTCCCATGTTCTATTGTTTGGTTTAGTATTTTTCCCAAAAATACTCTCAAAATGCACATTGGCAGCATTTTTGGGAATGGGGTGACCCAAGCAAGTGGGTTTAAACAGTGAAACATTAAGCTGTTCACACCCTAGACTCGGTTTTCCATTTACGTCAACGAGGGAGGGATGGAGGGAGTGTGATCTACAGATATTCGGGCATTATGCCGTACCAGCGTAATGCTGCTTGTAGTCCCACAAAGCCTCCAATCGCGTTCACCGCCCCTGCCCGTTGGGCACCGCCTCGCATTCACACAGATATATATATATATATATATGACATATACATTTGCCTGATATTGCAATTCGGAGGCAGTGCCAATAGCTCGCTATGCAGACATAGGCGCTTTTTTGCCAGGCAGGTGCGAACAAAACCTCGAAATTCTTGTCGGATTTCTCTTGTAGTACAAAGCCCTGTGGATCTGACACTCGGAATAATCCGCGCCGTGAAAGCTTGGATGAGGAAGCGATTCCAACCCAGAGGCTGAAGCACGCTACACGACGTGTTTGAGGCCGTCATGCAGCAGGCAATGCAGCACTTGGACCACATTGCCAGGAAAGGGTCTGAGATTGGGAACTTTGTAGCAAAGGAGCAGAATACGACGAAGAAGGCAACGTCACGAAGTTCAGCCCGCGGTTTCCTTGGGCATTTGAGTCGCCGAAGGACTTTGATGAGCTCGGGAATGAACTGGAATTCTCCTACGGCGTATGGCTCATCGTGAAAGAGCAGAACTGCAAGGCAAACGGTACTCAAACGTAGTCGGTATGGAACGAAGAATTTCTGGGACACGGGATCCGCGAATCCTTGTCGACCTGGAAATTGGAAGAGGGATGGCCCAAGGTATTCCTTCCAAAAGCACTAGAAGGAGCTGTAAAGATATTAGGAAGACCAACCAATTTCGGAGGATCTCGTGAAGAAACGCTTTCATTAAGTTCAAGGAACAGCTGTACAACGTTCTTGGGCGTGCCGAGCCTAAATAACACGACTACTTTAGGGCTGATTCCGAGAGATCGCAGCAGCAAAGCCATGATCGCGACAATGCGGGCATCTCCTCCACGATGACGTTTGAAAGCGATAGATCTGGACTCGGCCCGGCAGATCGATCTGGACTCAGCACGGTTGTTCGTGGTGGGACTGTTCTCACAACGCCTGCAGCACTTCGGCTTGAACAGGAGCTGGACAAGCTGCAACTGAGCTGGGGAAAATGTTCGCTTGCGTAACAAAGATCGTCAAGCGAAGGGATCACGAGTGGGACACAAACGCTGCACGTGAAGCTATCCGCAATCCCAACTCCGATTCAAAGCTCGCATGTGCGTGACATCTACGGCCCAATTGCACGGTCGACCCATCACGCTTGAAGGATCGCGGGCGCTAGATTGCTATGCTGGCTTGCAAGCCGACGGCGATTGTCAAACTGCTGACGCTGCTGGTGCGCGTTTGCAAGCTCGACTCAAAGGTCGTCCGACCGAAGGCTATTTGTTTGCGAATTTCGCACAGAATCCGAATTGGAGATGCGCTGTCCTGTGCTACTGTTGTACATGGGCATTTCCGGACTCACACGTTCAAGCAGCGATTGGGAAGATCATGCTGACGACCGGTTGTTGGTTAAGCATTGGCTGCAAGCTCGTGACATTGAGCGTCCGATCTTCAAGAAAGAATATTAATATAAAGGACACATTGCGGGCATGGGCGGGACGCAAACCAGAGCTACCACATGCATGGGCCGAGCTTTTCCAATGCTTTAATTTCGCGGACCCATCTCAACCCGTTAGCCAATTCGTAGGTTCCGAGGAGATACTGTCGCGTGAACATGCTGATGTTGCCACATTTCTTGTGAAGCAGGTTGCGTACATCGACACAGTCACGCGAAAGTACATGGACGAGATTGGTGCTGACAGACTTCCACGATGCGACACACTGGCTGTGAAGCTAGCAGCCAATGATGCTTCAAGCATGGGCGAAACAAGTCATTTTGTATCAAATTGTGGAGCAGTCGTCCTGAGATCTCGTTTGCTGTCGGATGGTTGGACGAAAAGACAAGATGCGACTTTGCATCGTTTGATGGGATATTTAGCGGCGACTCGATCCTCCGCACCTCGTTTGGTTCTCAATCCTGTTGATGTGCAGCAACGCCCTCTGAGACTAGTACTGTGGGTCGACTCTGAGTGGGCGACTGATCCAGGCACCAGGCGATCGACGTCGGGAGCTGCGTTGCAACATATTGGGTCGCACGGCACATTGTCGGCACCAGATGCGGTCTCAAGATCCACGGGGTTTTCTGCACAAGATCTTTTCGAGTTTTTTGTTGGGGTATCGAGTTTCTTTAATCATGACCGCCTCAGGAACAAGCATTGCAGCAATCGATGACATGTATGGTGTCCTCCAAGTACATGAGGCGAAAGCAAGGTGTGCCTCTGTCATGGTTGCATGATGTCAGCATTAATCCCGACAACAACATCAACCGACGATAACCCCGCGGATGTCATGGCGAAAGCATTGAAGAAGAACAAGTTCCAACATTTCTCACGGCTTTTGGGAGTTCACCCGCATGGTTGAGATTTGCATGCCTTGATTTTCTGAGCATGGTTGAGCAATGGCTTTGGGCAAGTGATTGGCCGTTGATTTCATGATCATGATCATGCGCATGTACTGCTTGGTTTTCCGCGTGGTCTTACTGCTAATCTCGTGATTTTCGGCAGGTGTACGAACCTTGTAACTTTTCTTGACCACTGACGCTCTGCGAAACCAGTTCGTGAGAAGTAACTGACACCAACGTCTTGCCTCAGCATTCTTGTGCACTCTTCAGTGCTGGCATATTTTGCAGTCCAGACACAAGTCTGTACAGTTTTGTTTCATTTTCCAGTGATGCCATGCTCGGCATGGGGGCGTGGGCAGATGAAGTACTGTGCTCACGTGACTGCCTCGCATGCTGGAACAAACTCACTCAAGAGTGATTGCATCAGACGTGCCACTTTCAGACTTGCCTTGGCAATGCCTTGGCTCAAGTGACCGAGTGAAAACACTTTCTCTGTCGAAGCTGTGTGTAGCTGTGCGTGCTTGAGCTGTGACCAACGACCCAGTGGATCTGGAGACCATTCCTGGAACGAAGACTGGGCTGCTGGATGGAATGAAGTCAGTCATGAAGGTCATGGAGCATGACAAACTCACGATGACCACGCAGAAGCAGAATGACGAACAGCAACAAGGATTCCATCTCGTAGTACCCATGGATCAAAAACCCTACGGAAATATGAAGAAGCGAAGCACAGAGCAACTGTGATGGGATTAACCCGCGCCTGAGTTCGGATCCCCAACTGCAGATGCCCCGAGCATTCTCGGATGAAGAAGCTATGATGCAAGGATAGCAACAAGAGCCGGTTCGTCAGGCTACAGTAACAGTAAGACCGGCCAGACTGGAATACGACGTCGTGAACTTCAACAGAGTAACCTACTGATACTGCCGGAGCGCCATCAAGAATTTGAACGAGTAGACCCCGCAACCCCAAACAGTGCAGAAGCACGTGATGGGATGAAAGTATGAGTGTAGCCAAGGAAGACTTGGTCACCAAGAAAGGACGACCGATGGAAAAGGAGTCCCTGCAAACCACAATTGATGCATGGAAAGGTCGATGCACATGTATGTTTCACCAAACGTATTTTGCGAATCGGTTCTGGATTCGCGGAAGTAGGTAGTTCTGTATGCTACCCCATGTTGGGGCCCTAGAACCTAGGGCCTAGACACGCCACCTAATTGGCGGGTGGTACAAAGCGGGTGAGGTGCATCAGCTTTAATTCTCCCGAACGGCGAATTCGAAGAGTTCGCTAACGGGCCGTGGAATGCCCAGGACTGTCGGAGCTCGATGAGGCCTCCCAGCGTGCCGACTTCGAGGCAGAATGTTGAACTTTAAACATGGACATGTACCCTACCATGTGCCCCCACCCTTTGCAATGAGGGGTGTTGCCGACATGCCCTCCCATTTGTCCCATTTGCCAGGTTGGGCACAGTATCTACCGCCATGATCTCACCGACCTCAACCGTAGATGCAGCATCAGCCCCAGCCAGGAGTCGAAGGGCAACAGTTCCTTCCGGAACTCGGATACCACGATCCTTCCAAGTTGCGCTCGTGGGGCCTGTGGGACCTATCTCTGAAAACAAGGGCAACCAGCCGGCGACCTCAGTCTTGTGCTCCACCTGCAAAGACACCAAGCTCGACGAGCTCGAGCCAGTGAGACGGAAAGACAATAACACAGCCTTCTCGGCGGTGGTGGGATTGAATTCAGGGAACTCCAAGCCGAAGTCCCCCTCCGACTCGTTGCCCGCAGCCAGCAGCCAGCGATTATAGTAACCCTTATATCCATACCGGCTGGAACTGCCCTGCTTCCAACTGACGTTCCCCGTGCTAGACCAAAGGCACGTGTCGAACTGGAAATTGCAGGTGAGGTCTTCAAACTGTAACTCTGGCACGCCAACACCGATGGCATCCAGAGACCCATAGTCCTCGCCTGCAACGCCCGCGAACTGCAAGACCTCCGCATCCTGAGGAATGGTAACGAGGGCGATGTGCCAGTACAGATCTCGTGGTCCCTCGTGCTGCCAAAGAGTCGTCAACCCACTGCCGCCCCAAGAATCCAGGCGCAACGTTCCCAGGTAGTCGCGTTCTCCCCTCATGTTGTACGCAAAATGGAGCTGTCTCGTCACATTGCTGGGTGCAAACATTGGGGATGTCAGTCGCTGGACCTGCAGACAGCTCAACTAACATAGGCCAAAAGGTTCAAGGCTTGCCCCCAGCTTTGCACAAGAATAGCTTGTCATGTGTCAGACTACGGGTGTGGAGGACAGCGCGACGGACCACACATGCGTGCATGAATGCATGCATGCCTTACCACATCTCATGCTGCGATGGCGGGCATGATGCTTGGTGCTCAGCTGATCTAATTCGATCGTTCTGCTTTTGTCAGCTGCCATTGAGCATCTGCACATCGTTGGCTGAAAATCTTACAAACATCCACGACCCCTCTCCATGCTTGGGAAACATGATTGTTAGACGACTGGGGCGGAAGATCTTAGCTCTTAGCTTCAAAGCTTCAAATCTTCAAGGGCCTCGAAGTCCGTGTAAATGTACCAGTTGCCAGCGAAGGCCCCCACCAGTGGCCCTGAATCGTCCGATGACGGTGTTTGGCCCGAGTTGCGAAACCAGGGTTGCTCCCCAAGACTGGAGGACCATGCGCAGTAGTCGGTCTCGAAACTGCAGCTCAAGCTTGCCCAATCTCCCGCTGCCAGTAACACAATATCATCGATCTGAACCGTAGATGCAGCATCAGCCTCAGCCAGCAGTCGAAGGGAAAGCGTCCCCTCTGGAACTCGGATTGGGGCACCCTTCCAAGCTGTCCCGGTATCTCCGGTCTGCGAGAACAAAGGCAACCAGCCTGCCTCGGTCTTGTGCTCCACCTGCAAGGACACCGAGCTCGAGCCAGTCAGGCTGTACCAAAAGAACAGAGCCTTCGTGGCGGTGGTGGGATTGAACTCAAGGCTCTCCAAGATGAAGCTCTGTACCTCCGACTCGCTGCCCGCAGACAGTAGCCACCAATTGTCGCTGGAATCGCTGGTCCGCACCCAACTGGCGTTGCCCGCGTTGAGCCAAAAGCACATGTCAACAATGAAATTGCAAGCAAGGTCTTCAAAGTCAATGGCTGGCACACCAACAACGATGGCATCTAGAGCCATGTCACCCCTCCACCCGTTGTCGGGCGTGCGGCCCGCAAACCGCAACACTTCGGCATCCTCAGGAACGGTGACAACGGCCATGCTCCATTGATGAATTTCCTTCCCCGCGTTTTGCCAAAGAGGCGTCCAGCCACTGCCGCTCCAAAACTCCAGACGTAAACTTGCCATGTAAATATGGCTGCCGAGCATGTGGTAGGCAAAATGGAGCTGTCTTGTCACGTTGCTGGGTGCAAACATCGGAGATGTCAGGAAAAATTCCTGCAAACGGACGGGATGCAGGCTTATTTTGGGGTAGTGGGACGGGAAACAAGTCAAGGTACCTGCTGGCTAATGACTATATAATGGCTAAGACGTCCTGCCTGGTCCCAGTTATTTTGAGAGGCTTCCGTGTAAATGTACCAATTGCCGTCGAAAGCCCCGTCTGGCCCAGTACCTCCTGTCGGTGTTTGGCCCAAGCGGCGCAGCCAGGCATACCCACGGGGCAAGGACCATGTGCAATAGTCGGTCTCGAAACTGCAACTCAAGCTTGACCAATCTCCCACTGCCAGTACCGCAGTCTCATCGAACTGAACCGTAGATGCAGCATCAGCCTCAGCCAGGAATCGAAGGGCAAGGGTGCCCTTCGGAACTCGGATCACGGCATACGGCCAATCACCCCCCATATCTCCGGTCCGCGTGAACAAAGGCAACCAGCCTGCGACCTCGGTCTTGTGCTCCACCTGCAAGGACACCGAGCTCGAGCCACTCAGGCTGTACATAAAGTACAGAGCCTTCTCGGCGGTGGTGGGATTGAACTCAAGGCTCTCCAAGATAAAGCTCTGCACCTCCGACTCGCTGCCCGCAGCTAGTAGCCACTGATCGTCACCAAAATTCCCATAACCATAGTCTCCATACGTCTGCTCCCAACTCACGTTGCCCGTGTTGAGCCAGAGGCAAGTGTCAAAATCGAAATTGCAAGCAAGGTCTTCAATGTCCGGAGCTGGCAAATCACCAACACCGATGGCATCCAGCCCCACGACACCTACCGGCCCAGTATTCGTGACGGCCACGAACCGCAACATCTCAGCATCCTCGGGAACGTTGACAAGGGCGAGGTGCCAGCGAATACCTTGTTGTCCCATGCGATACCAAAACGGCGTCCAGCTGCTGCCGCTCCAAAACTCCAAACGCAAGCTTCCCGTGTGTCTGCCGAGCATGTGGTAAGCAAAATGGAGCTGTCTTGTCACGTTGCTGGGTGCAAACATCGGAGATGTCAGGAAAAATTCCTGCAAACGGACGGGATGCAGGCTTATTTTGGGGTAGTGGGGCGGGAAACAGAGGTACCTGTTGCATAAAAAAAGCCCTGCCTCATAAGCGGTTGAGGCGTCCGTGTAAATGCACCACTTGCCAGCGAAAGCCCCGTACGGCCTAGTGTCGGACCGTGTGTCCGATGACGACGGTGGTTGGCCCGAGCCGCGCAGCCAAAGTCGATCCCAAAGGATGTTGGACCATGTGCAGTTGTCGGCCTCAAAACTGCAACTCAAGCTTGCCCAAGTAGCACGTCCCTCTGCCGAGATCTCATCGGCTGTTTGATGAAACACCGTCAGCACCGCAATCTCATCGAACTCTACCCTAGATTCAGCATCAGCCTCGGCCAGGAATCGAAGGGCAAGGGTGCCCTTCGGAACTCGGATCCCGACAGTCGGCCACTCACGCCCCATATCTCCGGTCTGCGTGAACAAAGGCAACCAGCCTGCGACCTCGGTCTTGTGCTCCACCTGCAAGGACGAGCTCGAGCCAGTCAGGCTGTACATAAAGTACAGAGCCTTCGTGGCGGTGGTGGGATTGAACTCAAGGCTCTCTAAGATGAAGTGCTGACCCCCCGACTTGCTGCCCAAAGCTAGTTGCCACTGATCGTCCGAACCACCATAACCATAGTAGTAGCCATAGTAGCCAGACGTCTGCTCCCAGCTGACGTTGCCCGTGTTGAGCCAGAGGCAGGTGTCGACATTGAAATTGCAAGCAAGGTCTTCAATGTCTGGAGCTGGCAAATCACCACCAATGGCATCCAGAGCCCTGACACTTCGCGGCCCAGTGCCCGTGGCGGCCGCAAACGGCAACACCTCGGCATCCTCAGCAGGGCGAGTTGCCAGCGCAGCCAAAGCATGCAGGCAAATTACACCGCCGAAGACCCCAAACAGTAGAAGGAAATTACACATCGTGTGAAGTGAGGTTCCTTCATACTACACGCGAGCCACCGCACCTAACAAGAAGATTGCTTAGGCAAACAAGACGCCCAGGAACCCGGCAAAAGCCACCCACATGAGGGGAGACAAAGGGAGACCATGGGAAACGAAGGGAGACAAGACGCTCAGGAACCCGGCACAGGCCACCCGCATGAAGGGAGACAATTGGAGACAAGGGGAGAAAAGACGCTCAGGAACCCGGCAAAGTCCACCCACATGAAGGGAGACAAAGGGAGACAAGACGCCCAGGAACCCGGCAAAGGCCACCCACATGAAGGGAGACAAATGGAGACAAAGGAAAACAAAGGAAGACAAGATGCTCCGGAACCCGGCAAAGGCCACCCGCATGAAGGGACACAAACGGAGACAAAGGGAGACAGAGACAAGACAACCCGGCAAAGTCCACCCACATGAAGGGAGACAAAGGGAGACAAAGGCAGACAAGACGCCCAGGAACCCGGCAAAGGCCACCCACATGAAGGGAGACAAATGGAGACAAAGGGAAACAAAGGAAGACAAGACGCTCAGGAACCCGGCAAAGGCCACCCGCATGAAGGGACACAAACGGAGACAAAGGGAGACAGAGACAAGACAACCCGGCAAAGTCCACCCACATGAAGGGAGACAAAGGGAGACAAAGGCAGACAAGACGCCCAGGAACCCGGCAAAGGCCACCCACATGAAGGGAGACAAATGGAGACAAAGGGAAACAAAGGAAGACAAGACGCTCAGGAACCCGGCAAAGGCCACCCGCATGAAGGGACACAAACGGAGACAAAGGGAGACAGAGACAAGACAACCCGGCAAAGTCCACCCACATGAAGGGAGACAAAGGGAGACAAAAGACAAGACGCCCAGGAACCCGGCAAAGGCCACCCACATGAAGGGAGACAAAGGGAGACTAAGGGAGACAAGAAGCCCAGGAACCCGGCAAAGGCCACGCACATGAAGGGAGACAAAGGGAGACATAGTGCGCAGGAACCCGGCAATGCTCGCCAGAATGCCGGCAACTCCTTAAACGAATTTAGGACCCCAACAGTAGAACTGTTTGGGGAATAAAAACATATCAATGAACATATACATAGAAACAATGACACATAAAATAAACAAACTAACTCGCCTCAGTCTCGGTCCTTCCCAAACCTCCCCGTTCTGGGAAGTCTGCCAACAACTCAAGTGCATCACGCCCAACCCCCCCGGCTCCTCCTGAATGTAACTAGGAGGCATGCCGGACCACCACGGGACTACCAACACGAGACCACCACCACGGGACCACCACCACGGGACCACCGCCACGGGACCACCGCCACGGGACCACCACCACGGGACCACCAGCATGGACCACCACCACGGGACCACCACCACGGCCCACCACCACTGACCACCACCACGCACCACCACCACGGGACCACCGCCACGGGACCACCACCACGAACGACCACCACGGACCACCACCACCACCACTACGGGACCACCACCACGGACCACCACCACGGGACCACCACCACGAGACCACCACCACGAGACCACCACCACGGGACCACCGCCACGGGACCACCGCCACGGACGACCACCACGGACCACCACTACGGGGACCGCCGCCACGGACCACCATCACGGGACCACCGCCACGGGACCACCACCACGGGACCACACCATGGGACCACCACCATGGGACCACCATCACGGGACCACCGCCACGGACCGCCACCACGGGATCGTCCTGTGGACCAACGCAGCGGCCACGGCGGCACGCGTCCTGTACAGTTCCCCCTTAGCTTGACGGATTCAGAGCGCCGCGGGCACACGCGTCCTGTGCAGTTCCTCCTTATAGCAGCACGCATTACGCCACTCGCGGACGCTTTGCGAACGCTTGCGAACGCTTTGCGAACGCTTGCGAACGCTTTGCGGACGCTTTGCGGACGCTTGCGAACGCTTTGCGGACACAGCGCAACGACGTTTGGTAACCTCCCAACCAACTTTAAAACGGGAACCCTTCTGCGGAGCATTCGGGAAAAAACTCTATAGCAATCACAAACACAGCGCCCACATGAGAAGATAAAAAACTCCATCCAATAAATCAGCAATACCTCTACGCAAGCTGCTAGATGTTGCCACCCTTGTGCCGAGTTAAAATCTGTACATGCCTATACGAAAGAAGTAAGAAGATTTTGAGACCGGACACCATGGCGTTGACCGGCTTTGAGCACTCGCAGACTGGAGAGTGATTCTCGAACTCGGCATTGCAGCTCATCTCAGGCCTCATGTCTTAGCTGTCTCACACTTCTTCTGCTCCCGGAAACCCATGCACAAGAAGCGCATGAGAGCCGCGCCCAACATCACAACCTCTGCTGCACACGGTGCTTTTGGCTTTGCGAGTACTCAGGGTGTGCTCTCAGGTTGCTGCTCATGAAACGTCCTTGGTAAGCCTTCAGGCAAGAGAAACCTCCTGTCGGCAATTGTGGGCAACGCGACATAACGGCAAGTAAGCGCCCACACTTGCAACCTGCTGAACAACATAGCATGTCTCTGTCAACAATGACTTTGTGCGCAACACTTGTCGCCGAGCTCTCCTTGTGCCTGGCGAGCATCTGACACCGTAACATTCACATGTGGCCCGTCTGGCAAATTGCTGAACCATGTAACATCACTGCGATAGTGTCTTATAGTTTTAACTTGTTTCTGTTTAAACATATTTTTCCGCTATGGTTACCATTAGTATTTTTATTACCATGCTTCGTACTATCGTTTTTCTTGTTAGCCGTCGACCCGACCTGAGGGGCGAGCGCCAAGTCTACCTGCTACCCCCGTGTGCCCCTGCCCGCTCCAGCCCCCACCCACATCACACCTCTGAGATGTGATTGGGGCGTCACGCACCTCCTAACAGGTACAGCACGCCAGGCACACCAGCGTCTCCTTTTCTGCTCTGCACTAAGCACAAACTGCTGCAGCAGCTCCTTCGAGTAAGAAGTGTTCTGGTGGGAATCTGGTGATCTGGTCTGTGCGTCAGTTGTATCTCAGGTGGCCTTGAGGGTTTGCGATGCAAGTTCAGCATCATTGTGAATTAGCCCTAAGTCGAGAGAAGGCTCACAAAGAGTCTCCGGACAAGCTCATGCAAGGAGTGTTGGAATTTCGGAATGCTCCGGGCTGTGGTCTGAAGACCCCAGACAATGTGATGTCTGCGTGCTGGAATGCTCCGGTCTGCTCCAGGTGATTCGCTCAGGCCCGTCGACCTACTTGCCAAATCCTCCTGTTCCCCTCAAAATCCCTGCAGGGGAAAGGCAGACGCTGCTCCTCCATATCATTGACTCATCACAATGAATCAATGTGCACACTAATACATGCAGGCTGGAATGCCGCAACCCATTGTCAGGACTAAGCCGCAGCGGAGCCGACCACATGCAAAAACCGCGAACCCCTGGCGAAACTTTACCCGTGCCTGGCAATAGACTTCGCAGTTGAGGTAGGACTTCGCAGCCTACCCGATGGCTATCACGACACAGGCAATGATACGCACAGCCTCTGACTCTGACACTGCCTGCTTCGCCACCTGCACCCTGCAGAAGCCACAGGTCATGCCTTGGCGCGCAGAGTAGAGCAGTCCGGGAAGGGCCCAGGGACGCAGAGCGTGCGCGCACGCTTTGCGTGCTTTGCGTCGCTTTGCTCCTATTCCGGTGGGGTGCAGGCCGACTCCGCTCCAGAGGCTCGGGAAGCCGCAGTCCACCTGAACTTCCAGCCTGTGGCCTGGGGCCTACACTCCCTGAAACTGGGGCTGGCACGGATGCAGTCACCCCAGCCTCAGCCACGGAGGTCGTGAGGCTGCGCTGGACGGGCTTATCGTCCTGAATCGAGAAGACCCCATCAAATGGTGGCCCCGGAAGCTCCTCCCTGTCCTCGCAAGCGGCCATATGGAAGCTGTGCTCGGTGTTGAAATCATAGGCGTGTCCTGATCGCACAGGAAACAGCTGAAAAGCAAGCATGACACAGCGATGGAAGGCCCAGTCGAGGTGGCCTTCGCCGTGGACGACGAACTCGTAGGGCTCGCAGAGGTTACCGTTCTTGGTACACGGCCTAGGTCCATGCACTCTGCACATTCTCTGAGCAAGCCAAAGCCTAAGCGCTCTGGGGATGCTGGCATTCCATCACACCACACGCACGGCTGACCCTCCACCTCAAGATACTCATCAACATAGCGCAGCACCGTTCACCAGCAGGTTGAACACCAAAAAAATGAAATCAACACTTCTGCGTGGCACTAAATTCAACGGGGTTTGGGAACTGGACCTCCCAAGCACCACCAAACCTTTGACACAGCACCGATGCGGGGGACCAGGGTTTATTCTTCTCAAGCTCTGAGGCTCTTGGCACATATGATTTTCTCATTTTTGTCGATCCCTTCCGCACCCCGACCCCAAAAAACACAAACCAAACCAAACCAAAGAAAGGCAAGAAAGCGCGCCTTGAGTCCGGCAACTTGTGCGTAGGGCCGACCATCCATGCTCGACAAGCAAGCCTCACCGTCCTGGCAGACACAGGACTGCAGCATAAGCCCCTCGTGCCTCTCTGAAGTCCTTGATAGTGTTGCACCCATCAGGTTGACCTCGCGTGTTACAGGAGCATGCCAGGCTCGACCAAGGCAGGACTTCGATCTGCCACCACACTTTCTACACTTTCGCTGAGGCGTGTGTGTGTGTGTGTGTGTGTGTGTGTGTGTGTGTGTGTGTGTGTATGTGTGTGTGTGTGTGTGTGTGTGTCTGTGTGTCTGTGTCTGTGTCTGTGTCTGTGTCTGTGTCTGTGTCTGTGTCTGTGTCTGTGTCTGTGTCTGTGTCTGTGTCTGTGTCTGTGTCTGTGTGTCTGTGTCTGTGTCTGTGTCTGTGTCTGTGTCTGTGTCTGTGTCTGTGTCTGTGTCTGTGTCTGTGTCTGTGTCTGTGTCTGTGTCTGTGTCTGTGTCTGTGTCTGTGTCTGTGTCTGTG